TGTAAATTCACCAGTTAAAACTAGAAGTCGAGTTTTCCACCAATCACGCGCATTTTGCTTTAAACGACAAACTGTGTTGTATTTGTTTGTCTACGTTTTATATAAAAACAGCTAAAGTGAATTAGTATACTGTTTGCAAAACTATTGTGACTCGCTTTAAATCTATTATATAGCCAATGGACAAATGGGATCAAACGTAATCACATCATGTTGGAATGGGTTTTGATAGCTTGTGGGATAATGTGTGGTATTATTATATATCTCAATACCTCCATTGAGTAGTGTTTATTTAGTTCTCTACGACTTTTATACAAATATTAATTTATCATTTACATTAACGTGTTTGGTTTAATCAGTTCCAACAGAGAAATCGATATCAACCTGGATAATATATACGATGATCGTGCACTTACATTGTTTCATAAATTTCATAAATTAAGAATATCACTAAAACCATTTCTATAACTTACCGGTAAAGGTTACGGGTTGTATATCTAATCTGGTCTGACATTCTTTCGGGGTTGCTTTTTAAAACACCAACATGTTCGTCAATATGTCATTCGCTGTCTTGTTAGCACAAAAGTCCGTGAGTCTTCTGACATTGATCGAAACGAAGAATCCTACTGATTATTTCAATATCACCTCAAGTTTGAAATTTACATTGTTTGTAATCCTATTGAAAGGAAAAGCTCTCTTGATTTTGGAATATAAATTCTAGGGTTATCCCCCTGGTTTATAAATATTTTGTTGGCACATTCCATTATGATCTAATGTATGGCGGTATATTAGATTCAAAATTCTAACGTGCGATCGTCTAATTTCTAACTTCTATTCTTGCAATTTCATGTAGTTTATAACTTCTATTCATGTAACTTTTAAATTAAGACAATGTATAATCCAACTTCTTTATTTGTTCAGTGTAAATTTTAATTCTATTTCATCTTATTTCTATTATTTAGACGAAAAACGTCTTCTTCATTGATGCTTTACACGTTTAGCATGAACATCAACGAATTTCGAATTTTTACACGTCTGCCTAGCAACCATCATTATGAAATCGTTAAAGTTAGGTTCACACCAACGGCGCTTTTTTGGCGCTTTAAAGCGGCGTGCAAAGCGGTACCAAAGCGTAACAAAGCTCGACTGAAGTGTCAGGGTCGTAATAGATCGTTGGAAAGCTTTGAGCAAAGTGGGACATTCGGCAAGAGCGCCAACAAATTTTAAGACTGTTTCAAAATTTTGGGCGCTCTGTCACGAATTGATTAAAGCGCCGGGAGCGTATCAAAGCTTAACAAAGCGTAACAAAGTTCAGCAAAGCTTGACTCAAAGCGTAGGAAAGCTTAAACAGAGCTTTGTTCAAAGCGGGGATCCCAGTCTTCACGGTCTGTCACCACTTGACACGCTTTGTTAAGATGTCTCAAGATTTGCTACGATCTGGTATAAAGATCTGACAGGCTTTGTTACGCTTTCCCACGAATTGAGACGCTTTGATCAAGGATTGACACGCTTTGCTAGGCTTTGCTAGGCTTTGCTAGGCTTCCTCACGCTCTCCTACGATACCCAAGCTCTGTCTCCAGCGCTGCGACTTGAGTACCACCCATTGCATTGTTTCAAAAAAAGTATCCTGAACCTGAAATTGAAAAACAACACAAAGATGGGACCCATCTGCTAGGCATTCAAAGAGCTCAGCGTCTATGAATATCTGGGAGTCAGACATGTGTCCTTTACCTTGTACTGTGTATCTACCAAGGCCAGCATTGGTATGAAGAAGAACCCCTTGTAGTTGTGGTAGAGACTGCCTGTGTTTGCTGGCTTCTTGATGGCTATATGTTTTCCATCCAAGGCACCAACTGCATGGGGGACATGCCATCTCTGTTCAAACTGCTGGGCAAGGTTTCTCCATGCCTCAGGGGAGGTAGGTGGGTTGAAGACCCCATCTTTATACGCCTGTACAATGGCCCTGCACACTTCCGGAATCAGCTCTTATATGGTGGAGATACCACATCGGAATCCATATGCCAGTGACCTGTAGTTGTTCCCAGTGGCCAGATGTCTCAAGGTGATTGCCAGCGTGAGACCAGTGGACAGCGGGGGGGGGGTGTTGCCTGTAGTTAGTCTGCTGCTTCTGAATGACTGGTGCCACTCTCTCCAGGATATCATCGAACACCTCGGAGGTAAATCTGGCGAAGTTTCTGAAGGCAGCAGGGTCTTCTAATGTGAGTTGTGTATCCAGGAGGCTAGTGTATTGGCCACACTGTTGTCTTCTTCCTCCGCCTCAAGGGCTAGGATGTATTTATACAGTAGGGAGACAAACATCACGTCTTCTTCAGATAGATTATGCTCTGGTACATCTGGAACTTCTGGATCTTGTAGTTCTGCCATCGTGTTGTGGAGTCAAAGATGCAATGATTTTGTGAATCTGCTCTGGATCGAAATCTTAACAATGCACAACAGAGCTTGATAATCGTATCCGATCGTGATTTGAAGCGTCATGATCGCATCAAATCGTAATAAAGCTTATCAGAGCGTGATTTAAAGCGTAACAAGGCTTGATCAAATCGGGAAATAATTCGTCCCCCAAAGCGTAACCAATTCGTATCTGAGCTTATCAGAGCGTAACATTTCTTAGGAGATCGTGATATTTTTGGAAAAGTAAACAAAAACGATGGCGCTTTGCTCGCCGATTTAAAGCGCGACATTCGCCGTTAGTGTGAACTAGACTTTAGTGTCGGCACTGCGTGCTCATTTTGGTGATAGCGACCTAGTCGAAACCAATATGTTGATATAAACGACTCGCTCTTCGTCTGGTTGATGGTTGGCCGGAGTGCTGAAATTTAGAGAGAGAGGGAGAAATGGGGTTTAACGACCACTCTACACAAACTAGGTCATTTCGGGACTAACATATGGTTTAATTTTATTTCAATAATTCGCTTGCGCGTAGGGGTCTAGCAGTAGGAGGAAACCGGAGGACCCGGAGAAAACTCACAAGGTTGGCCAAGCGACTCCTTTTCACGTACAACCGGGGAATCGAGACTGAGATTGAAAACAAAATCGAACGTGATATGGTTGGCAAATACTATTTCAAATATAAGCTAAACAACATGTTCATTTTGATAGCGATGAAGTTGTTATTTCTGATATTCCTTCATCATACCGACCTGACTAACTTTATGATAGTTTTTTTCCAACAATATTTTATTCAAGTTGCATAAAGCGATACGGAAGATAGCGGTGTTAAACCAAAATGAAATGGGATTTATCGTCCTACTTTTCTACACGAACTGGGCTAATGAAGACGGACTTACGCCATACAGTGTGCCATGGGTGAAATTTAGCCCGGACAGCGGTGCCACGTTCTACTTTTATTACGAATTACAGCTGCCAAGGGTTTTCGTCCGATCCGAACGATTAGACACGGCCCCTGCCTACAATAACGGCAGCCTCCGCAAATCAGAGGGACAGAACTAATAATGTCAGAAATATTATAAAGCTTAGTTTTGCCAATGCGTATACTAGCTGACGATATTATATAACCCATACATATATATTTCTATGATATAACCGATATCTTCCGGCGTGGCTCTCCCTCCCTTGTTATTGATACAGGACGGGGGTCCTAGCACGGACAGTGGCTAGTCGTTCGGATGGTATAAAGAGACATTTTTAGAGCAGTAAAAGAATACAGACCAACAGTATTTAATATTAATTGGCTTAACTGTACAAAAATCAAATAATATTCTCCAAATCCTGCACTTGTCTTAAAAAATGGAATGAACAATTGCTTTTAAACTTATATTGGAAATAATATTTGCAAACCATATCACGTTCGATGTTGTTTTCAATCTTAACACGCCGCCAAACCATTCAACCTGACGAAGAGCGAGTCGTTTGTATCAACTGACCAATCGCCAAATTGAGCACATAGTGGCGATACCAAACGACGTCATAATGATGGTAGAAGTATCAAAATTCTAAATTTGATTGACGTTTATGATTAAAGCGACAAAGAAGTAGACATTTTTCGTCTTAATAATAGAAAAAAGATGAAACAGAATTAAAATTTACACTGAGCAAATGAAGAAGTTGGATTATACATTGTCCTAATTTAGAAATAATATGAATAGAAGTTAGAAATTAAATGAATAGAAATTAGACGATAGCATGTTAGAATTTTGAATCTAATGATAGAGTTGTGTTATTGTTGTTAACATATATATCTTCGAGTCTTGTGTTTTCAAATTTCGAAAACGTTAGTGTAAAATTATTGTCACGATTGGGTGGACATTTATGAATGTACCGATTAAATCATAGTATTTAGTTGGATAAATGTATATATTATCATCAATGAATTGCCTCGTCTGTGGTTAGGGCGTTCAACCCTGTAAAAATATTGATAAAAGTTGGGTCCGGGCAAGAGTAAACAGCATTCAAACGAAGTATATATCGTGGCCTTCATCCATATGTTGGTACAGAATAATTGTTATCTCCCCTTAATAATAATCACAATCACCCTCCGCGTTTAAACGCTAAATTATAGTTAAAATGTCTTATACAGATTATTTTTATGATTTTTTCCCCCATTAAATACTTTAATTGAAAATGTCCCATCTTTTTTTCTCGAAACACCATGCATTTCATATCTAAAAAGACCAGCACACACGAAGGATCATTTGTGAGCAATTTTCAATCGCAGGCGAATAATCGCAGATGTCCTTCCAAATATACAGGCCTAGTGACCGTCCCCGCAGATCGTTACCGACAAACCAGCAGAACTGATAACACCATTTCAGAATGTACACTTTAATAACAAGGAATGTGGCTTTTAATTTCACTAGTTTAAACAAATTCGCTACTTGGAGTTTTTTATGTGTATCCATTGCCATTGGAGCAGATTTATACAAGTTTTGGTTTGTTTTCCTTTATCATAATTATATATTGGTGACATTGTATAATTGATTGATAAAATACTGTTTATAGGAACGCAGATATAACAAAACGGCTTAAATTAGATTGTTTTTATTTTTGATCTTGCGAACAAAACAAAAAGAAACAACGAGGCAAAGCATACAATAGATAAAATAAAACTCATAACATAACAACAATATCACAATTTAGGACATTTTACTAGGTACATGTATATTAAATTAACCCAGGTTTCTTTTCTGTTCTTGTAAGTACTTTCACTAAATTTCAGTTTAGTGTAGAAATTAACCACATACGGACACAGGGCACCAATAAATTCCAACCCTACATTCGCGACCACGAATGTAATCTTGTTATATTTTAGTCCGATTTTTGTTGACACTTTGGGGTAGAATCGAAGAAAATTGTTTGAATTTACATTTTGTGCTAAGTTTTGGTGAATATTCATGCTTTGAGATGGAATGTTAAGAGGTTGGTTACGTTGCAATGTTGGGCTAATTGCATGTTTACTAGTGGGCTACTTACAGTTTGTGCATCTCCAAGCTCCCATTGTGAACCTTATACCGGCTATAGACGTTGTCACAAACTGTTCCATCAGTGGTAGAATGCGTTAAACCCAACGAAAATTAAGAAAATGTTAAAGCCGGTCAAATTAGGGTCGGTGGGGAAATTGATGGTGTACTGTGGCCATACGATTACATCATACGTGAATTACAACGTGTATTTGTCGACACTTTCCTTTTAAAATCATATAATCCATTTACGGTTGAGTATGAATTCATCAGCAATTATTTATAAATTGTCGGATCCTTAATTTAGCTTTTATTTTCTTTTGTAGTCAAATTGTGCCTGGAGCTAATATGTTTCCACTATTTTTATAGTGTCTCCATTAATTGAACGGTGTGAAATATAAGATGTATGAAATCAGACATGAATATAATTATGTCTCTAGGCGACCTACATCATTTCTCTTATAATTCTAGAATAATTGGTATGTACAGAATCCCTTTGTTTATAACACTGGTATGTCTCACGTGTACATTAGGTTGTGAAATGTTGATGAAACGTTGCAGTGGAATAAACAAAGTGATATTCTAGTATGATATTATAAGTCAATTGCTATATGCCTCTTAAAGAGTATATTATTTATTTTCTAGCTTTATCACAGAAATACGTATATATAGGAATAACCATAGAATATCGGATACAAATATGCAAATTTAATACATTAGATATACAACTTTCAGACTCCCTAAATCAAAGTGGAAACTTTATTTTTGCGGGACCAAGCAAAACGTTTGTTATTCCGCCCAATTCTGTTCTATCTTTTTTTTTATTAAAGAATAACTTGTGCCGGAAAATAACTGGGTTTGAAGGCAAATAAAAGAGGATTAGGCATCTAACACAGAGAAAGGTGATATATCTTGCTTATCAATTATTTTACAGTTTCTTACCTTTTTAGAATTTTAACCTACAATTTCTCATGCTAAGTATTCTAGATTTACAGTGCCTTACTTTTAAATATTCTATGCTGAAAATTTAGGCTTGGACTTTCCTACTTTTTAGAATTCTAATTCTAATTTTGAGAAATGCTAGATAATGACAGAAAGAGCGCCGACTACACATAACTGAACTGTAATTAAATAGTTATTACATCATAATCTAAAATAAATATAAATGAATATTGAACAAGTAAACCCATTCAAGAACAAACTAATACTACATGTAAATCTGTAGAAATGAACAAATACTATTTATACCGGGGATAATGAACAGATACCAAACTACGGCTTGTATATAATGCATGATATACAACTCCGTCTGTAGAACCTGTTACTCTGTTTACTTTAGTTGTGTGGTGTTTTTTTGTTTGTTTGTTTGTTTGGTTTTTTTGTTCTCCAGATTTAAGGTCCCAAAATGCACCAGTTACAAATTACACAAGCTTGTGCTTGAGGCTATTCTATCGACATCTTGTGGTGCCATGTAAGGTCAATCGGTGATGTTGATGTGGATTTATTGTGTCCAATTAATCCCATGCCGATTCTGTTGACATGCGGAAATCATTTTACGAACATGAATGACATCAATTGATGAATTTGTGTTTCAGACATTAATCAGTGATGCACACGGTACTGTATTACGGACATGGTACCGGAAGTTATACAACACCGATGTACTCAGCAGTACATTCGTCCAAACAAATCTGTTGATTAACAAACCGTTGTTTTAATTTCATGGTTCTTAAAAACAGTTCAGCTTCAATTACACATTCATTGTTCTGGTCGCACAGATAACCGTAGATTTCTCGATAAATATTATCACACCACTCGCTGGTTAGTCCAAAGCTGGCCCCCTGAAAAACAAAATAAGATGGGCGCATTAGCAACTATTCAGTCCTACACATAGTAAGGCACACATGGATAAGAGCCCCATAGACTTCGACCTAACACACTTTTTGAACATTCTGATGATCTAGAAAGATCATCTGATAAAATATTGAAGGATATCGACCATCTCGCTTTTTCGCTACGCGCTAATTCGATTCTAAACCGAAAAGTTAACAAAAATGTCATACGCAAAAGGGACGTGGGGGAAAGAGGCTAACATAGGCAGTGTATCACAGTTATGTGATTACACTTTGGCATGATGAAGATTTCCTAATACATGGTCATCAATAATAAAACGTGAACATTTATCACTTGTTGTGCTATGTTATTCTAGCCGTGGTGTAAAGTACGTTTTGCCGCACTAATCGTACAGCAGTCCATTAACCAAAATGAGAAGTCAAGTAATGTAATCCATTTTAGTAATACGTTAGTTATCCTGTCAGTTGTTAAAAATTCACTTTATTGAGCATATTTTAGATGTCTGATAAAATCAGTTACCTTATATCATGTATACCGTATAGTCATAACAATGACCTTAAAGAGCTACAATTATTATCATTTTATTTTACGTATACCGTAATAACATTGATCTTGAAGAGCTACGGATATTAATATTTTATTTTACGTATACCGTTTAAAGAGCTACATATTTTAACATGTCATGCATACCGTAATAACACTTACTTTAAATAACTGCATTTATTAACATTTAGACGCTTGATAAAATGAGTTACATGGAGTTTAACGTCCACTCGACACAAACTAGGTCATTTTGGGATCAACACATGGTTCAATTTCATTTCAACAACGCGCATGAGGGTAGGGGTCTTTAACAGTGGGAGAAAACCCATGAGGCTGAACAGGCGACCCTACCCCTTATCACGCACAGCCGGGAAATCGAAATCACACCAGTTGACTCAATAACAGACCTTATGACACAACGCGCACGCCACCCCCCTCCCGCGTTTAAGATGTATAATAAAATCTGTTACATTACATAATGTATACTGTAATAACATGGAATTTAAAGAGTTACCGACGCTTTAGATGTATAATAAAATCTGTTACATTATATAATGTATACTGTAATAAGACTGAATTTAAAGAGTTACATGTACCGACATTTTAGGTGCATAATACAATCATTTACATTTTATAATGTATACTGTAGTAAAACTGACTTTATTTATATTTTGTATTGATTACCGCGAAATAATAGGTAGGTATGTCTAAGTTTATTTTGAATAAAATAATTTGTTGAACGTGAAAATGTCTCTTTAAGCAAACATAACAACTACACAAACTAACAGCACAGTCTACAGACTTTATAAATTTTTTATCTTATTTTGAATCAGTTTGCATTGAATATTGGCCCATTCTTTTCTGATATTTGTTCTATCGTGGGAAAGATAATGGTTACATTTTTATCAGATACCGACAGATAAACTGTCCAAAATAATGGAAACAAAAAATAAAATGGAAACTTTTTATCATAAAATCAGTAGCTTTGTTGTAAATGACGCGGTTCCCATGGAGGTTACCATGGTTATTTCATTTTTATCTTTTGATATTGGTATTGTCAGATTTACAGAAATAGGGATATAATTAAAACGCATGTAAAAAAAAAAAGGTTCAGTCCGGTTATAATTGACAGAGATACCACCTGGAGAGGTAAAAATTCTCATGTGTTTTTTTCTAGACCATGCAACAGTTTATTTTATTCTGAACAAGAATATATGAGGTAAACAGTCTGTATCCCGAACCATTTTTCCGTGAGGGCGCCTTTTTTTCAAAATGGCTGACAAAATCACATATATATTTACAGTGACTATGTGGGTTAAATAAGTAACAATGATGCATGTTTGACCACTTTTTGCATTAGTTTTTATTACCGTTATTCCCAAACAAATGGAGAAATCGGCCTAAGTGGATGGAGGCAAGATGCCCGAAGATGTGCAGGAACTGTTTATTGAAAATGAGTGCGAAAGTGCGAGGACTTTTCAGAACGTAGTGATCTGAGCGACTTTGAAAATTAATGATATATCATTGTGTGTGATTTGTCATACCAGGATACATTGTAAGGACAATTCAGTATAAGCCTTTACTCTTTAAGCTCCCTCAAGAATGAGATGTCAAACATCTTTTCAGTGATCATACAGAAACAACTTATCAATTTTTAACTTACTATCTAGACACGTGAACATATTACGGAAAAATGTTCAGGATACAGCCTGTTCTTGTTCGGAATATAAAAAAACTGATCAAGAAAAACCACATGCGAATTTCTACCTCTCCAGGTGGCACCCCCCCCAATTATAACCCGGACCAGTAGTCATTTGTTTAGTACCAAGGGAAGCTAAATTATTTTCAGTAGGGTTCAGAAAGTTGGGGTGCTTATTCCGTATGAAGATGCACATGGGAGAGATGGGACATAGTTTTTGAAAATAAGAGGCGAAAGAGAGGAAATTGGGGTTTAACGTATACTCGACAACAGAAAATAAGAACATTTTTGTTTACTGGAATCTGTTAATCATAACACATGTATTGTTTGGACAGAAAATGATATCGTTCAAAGTTTTTACAAATCTCTACATATTATTATATTATTGTCATGCATAATTATTATTTTAAATTGAAAGTGAAACTGTTTTTTGAAATGCCAGAGTACTTTTTTTGATGTGGCATCGCATACACTTATATCAAATTATCTCGTAAACTGGTAATTACAAGAACTGGTCACAACTAATATTTCGCGAAAACATGCATAATAATTTCACGGATGTCTACTGACAATTCTCAAACGATAAGCATGTATATATTGTATTGTACATTATTCTTCAGAACATTTCTTTATTGAGCACTTTTTCTCAACGCACTATACATATATACAGTATATAAAACAGAAATCCGGTTAAATTTGTAACAGTAATATAGAAGACGAAATATATTCCTCCGAAGAGTAGAATCTAAAACCCGTCGTCTTTTCAATTTCCTGTTCTGCCAATTTTAAATTTTACGTCTGTGGATTCCCCGCGACACAATCCAATAAGCAAAATATGCTCAAAAAACCTTCACAATGGTGAATCTAATGCCGGGTTTTTTTTTGTTTTTGTTTTTTTTTTTTTTTTTGTTTTGTTTTTTTTAAAAGTATGATCAGATTTTATAAAGGAAATCGATTGTGCCGAGCCCGCAGTAATGCTGTTATAAACTGGAAGGTGTCTCAGAGTACTGATTGGATAAATGTTTAGTAGGCTAAGTGATTTTATTGAGTATTGCACCTAGAACAGAAATGAAATGCCTGGGTACACATTTTTTGTATGCACCATTGACTGTTACCATGCTGCTTAGCGGAAACGTTGTCCGGACAAAAACATTGCACAAGTGATTACAGACAATAAAAGTAACCGTATGTTAGTTTCCATATAACTGCAAGATTCTTTTGATGAGACGTTAAATACTGCCCCTTTCTTTTATTAATTTCTTTTGCTCCACTAAACTGTGTTACAAAGACCAATAAACATCCAATTATATAGTGTTTTAAAATGTGCAAATTTTGTCTCATACTTGTTGTCTAGTATGGCTATCTAGTGTTTATCAAGATTTTTGTTTGTTAGTTGTTTCTTGCCTTACCGTACGACCCCGACCCATATACTTTCTATTAAAGCAGGTTTGTCACAAAACAGCATAGCGTATGCCATAGCCATAGCTATTGGTTCACAAACAATGAAGCAGAAACAATAGTACGTTTACTTATATAAGTTTCCTTTGTATCAAGTACATCTAATTAATCCAGGATTCAGACCTCTATCAATATGCTTAATTAATGGTGGATCAATGTATTATGGCTCACAGCGTTTTGTAATTAAAACTAGTAACATGATATGCCTTTATCTTCTATCGATCATAAAGCATTAATTTATGGCAATATTTGATCTGAAATCATTAAAGCTATTAAGGTTCTCACATTTCCTTTGTTTTTATTTTTAATAGTTACTTAGTGATAAAGGCGTACGTTATAATTTTGTATGAATATTTTTAATTTGCCGTAATTTCGCTATATACATGTAATGTACATCAGGACTGTACAAATCAGATTGTACTTCAAGTTTTAGATAGACCTGCAAATCCATTGCCAAGATCCCTTAAGTTAATTCGGCGACCGTTACCAAATCTTAACATTGTTGTATGAACGCAAAGATGGGGCAAATAAACCAGTTTATATACCCCAGTTCACAACCTATATTTCCAGAAGGAATTTTTTTTAAGCTGAATTTGTTCGTCTTAGCGGGTCTGTTTAAAAACGTCAACTTAAGCTAGCTTTGGGCATGCGTAATAAATTATCTTCCTGGAAAAATAACGGAATATACCCATGCATAGTTGACCTTAACCTTGACGTACCCCCCCCCCCCAACCCCGCCCCATTATCTAGCGTTTAAAGCGTTGAACGGTATACTTTTTTGGTTTTTATTATGGGTCCCAACACTGTAGTCTAATAATTTTTACAAGTTCACGCAAAATGATTTATGTTTAGACCAGTGCGTTGATTTTCGATAATTAGGCGGCTCTAGCGATATTTTAAATATGAAGTTACATAAAATTAGTTACATTTATTTTCGGTTTGAAAACGATGCCTCTTTAACTGCTCCAGCTTAACGACAGGATTACTTTACTTGGGGAAAGGGTTATGCACAATTGTATCTTTTTCTTCTAAAATATTACAATTCCCACTTATATAATTTTATCCCCAGTAGGAATATAATAGGAACACCTTACAGTCAAATCACATCTTTTACCGAGTTCTGCCAATTGTCTTGTATAATTCATTGGCGTGCAGCGAATATGAAATAAAATCCTCTTCAATCTCGAATTCTCTGAGCTGTAGGAGGGCAATTTCCGATCAGCAAATTTACATATGAGAACCATTCAATATTTTACTTTATGTATTACATGATGTATTTAATTGTGATATCACGATTAAAAGGAATACGGCTGATGTGTTTGTTCAAAATTAATTCTCGTGCATATGAATCTTTTAAAAAAAAATAGAATCAATATTTAACAGTTGATACACGAAAGAAATCTATCATAGTATTTTGTTACGAAAAATGTAATAAAAATAACGCACTTAAGCACTGGAGTGGTCTAACGTGATGCAAGTCTCGTAGTTTTGGTCCCACGCATGTATTAAGGGGTGGTGGATTGGCGTGCCTGACATATCGAGTTCTACGGTTTTATCTCACTGCTAAAGACCCATATGCTACAGTATATTATTTAAATAAAAATCATATAGTCAAGATATTAATAGCTTTTTCTCGATCCGCAGAACTCTCTTTCCACAACTACATCACGGCTGATTTAATAGGTTTAGTTCGTAAATGGTTTCCACACAGACGTAAAGTTATCAAATACGGGATCTTACTAAAGAATGGGAAGTGTCACCATGAGAAAGGAAATGGATCTTGTCCTATTTTTCTGCACCAACCGGGATAATAAAGACGTGCATACTCCGCCATACGTCATGCAGTGTGATATGGGGGACATTTTACTCCCCCCCTGTTAATGAATCGACGCCCTACTCCCTTAAGCCCCCTCCCCACACACACACACGCGCGCACTCCTAGAAAGAGTAATCATATCATCCGTGAAAATGATACCTAGTCAATGAGTGCCAGTTTGGGCTTGGCTATCAGAAGCAGGGCGCCCGCATCCAGACAATGGCTAGCAATATCTCATTGTGGATTAAACATTAATAAAAAAAAGTACATGTCCTTCTGAATGGTAACATTTCAATACGCGAATAACAGTGTGCCGTATACCTTATAAACGAGATACGATGATTTTCATTTAATACGAAACAAAATATTACAAACATAGGAGTATTATACTTTATCGGAATGACGTCTGTATTACCAGTTTATGTACTGTTACCACAGCGACAGATTAGCCTTGATTTGAAGCGTCTGGTAATATTTACTGTCGCACGATTTCAATTATACGTCCATTTGTCTCAGCTGATTAGCTGGGATTTCTGACTCACGGTGTCTGTCTTAACAGCCGCACAGAAAGTCTCTTAACGCAGAAGGAATAATATACGAGTAATTTTATGGCATTCGTAATGGTAGATATAGTAACAAAAATTGGGTTTTACCTTTATAATGAATGTGGAAACTGTGCCCTTTCGTATTAGGCACGAAAACCAAGTTTTAACGATTATAATTAAAGGTAAAGTATGCTGACTCCGATTCCATGTTGGTTTTTTTTTGGTTTTTTTTTAGGGGTGGGGGGGAGGGGTAATAATACTTCCCCCCTTAGTTTTCTTATTTTGCAGGATTTTCCAGTTAGTATAATATAATTTTTAGGCCATTATGGCATGGTAATTATCTCCTGGCATAGTTTACAATCGGTATCGAATTGTCGTGTTTATCCGGCCACTCGATGATAAATTGCAGGCCACTTTTTTATAAATAATTTCCAAACACCGCTTGTTTTATACGATCGGGCTGTCGGCGACACAATTTCCATGGCGTGCGCAGGCCTTAAGGATGATGACATTAAAAAGACACATTAACCTAGGTTCTGAGGAGTTGTCATTGTGGAAATGACATTTTTTTATAACGTTAGCGTTTCTCTTAATAGCAAATTGCATGTATAGATATCTTGCAAATAGCTCTTTAATTCACTCGCCTGGGATCCATTTCAGCAAACCATATAACGCTATCAAGCATTTTATTTTCAATGTCTTGTGAATAAAATAACGATATTTCAGATCAGTTTTGCGTCATTTAAGCTGTAGTTATGTAAATGGGATAAGATTACTGCAGGTCATTTCTGCTAAAATGTCAAGTTTTATGATGAACATTATTGAAAACTCATGGCTTAGAGGAATTATCATACAAAAGATATTTAAAACGAGATTATATTATGCATCAACTTCTTATGCCCGGAACAATAAAATTGAAATAAATATAAAATTTTATTTCAAGGGATAAAGAATATTTCAAAGTAATGATTTTAACGTTTCTTTCGCTCTTTCTTAAATCATTATCACAAAAAATTATCGCGAATAAGGACTATTTTTTATTGATTATAGTTTTTTTTTTAATTGATTATAGTTTTAATTGGCTATACTTTTTTTTTAATTGATTATAATTTTTTTTTAATTGATTATAGTTTTTTTTTTAATTGATTATAATTTTTTTTAATTGATTATAATTTTTTTTTAATTAATTATATTATTTTAATTGATTATATTAGCGAATATAACATATATGTCTGGGTATAATTTCCATCATACCATATTGTATGGCGTATGCCTCTCAATAGACCGGTTGGTGCGTAATCGCGGGACGTTAAATTTCATTCTATTTATTAATCTAATTAAAATGAGATTACAATTTTTGCACTACATTGTACTCTAGCAAACGTTTTGTGTTTTATCACAACCAAGTTCTGTTAATGGCAGTTCTATGTATATGCATTATAACATAACCGAAAACTCATTATATCTGCTTCGATTTAATATTCCTATCATTCACTACTATACATGTACAAAACTAATCACCGTATACCTATATAGACAACTTGATTGGTCAACAAGTTCACGTGATCTCAACACCGTCTTCACAGAACACACGTCATGTTATGCAGTACATCATAACAAATAAAGTTAATTATTTGGCATCTGTATGTAGCAATCCAACAAAGACTGCAGGATTATATTTTAGTTAGTTGGTAGCTTCAGTCCCCTATTTAATCTGTATATTTAAGAGAGATAGTGAAGTCATATTCAATGGGAAATAGTTGTTGTTATAAATCTTAATTAATGTTATGTTTTGATTGTTATATTGTTTTTATTCATGGATGTACTATAAATGTAGGTTATTATTCATTATTGATCATTGCTTGATAAAGATACCTGTAAGAGTATTGAAACGTTGCATGTAATAAACTAAGAAGTAGTAAATCCATAAAGTTATGTTATTATGAATAAGGACTCAATTATTTACAGGAAGGATGACTAGTTTATGAAAACACCACATTTTATAAATGTAATTCCGCCTAGCACGGGATAAAGAATAATATTAACAGATTTTGACGTTGCTGTTTTTCTTTTAAACCATTGGAAAAATATATCTTTAAATCAATTCTTCTCAAGCCTGGTGTACTATTATCAGATAAAAATATTTCTGCAAATATCAGTCCTTTACCTGGTATAATATAGTGGTTCAATAATACCTTCTTACTCTGTGTTGACGAGAAAGAATAAACTGGACGCGTTGAATATTTTTTTTTTCTTAAAAGTTTCATACTTGGTCAAACATATAAAATGGTCACCATTTATTTTATCTCTGTATGCTAATATTCATATGCATGACATAAACAATCTGGGTATGGGTTGGGTTGAATGTAGAAGGGAGAGAGAAATAAAATGGGGTTTAACGTCCACTCGACACAAACTAGGTCATTTCGTGACTAACAGATGGTTCAATTTTATTTCAATAATTCGCTTGCGCGTAGGGGTCTTTAGCAGTGGGAGGAAACCGGAGGACCCGGCGAAACCCGGATCTAGAAGGAACGAATAAATGAAATAGTGCTTAACGCCATACGTTTATGCCCCAACCGGGATAGTGAGGACACACGCCATGCACCACTGACAAGGGCAAACTGGGGAACTTACACGACCAATGTCGGGGTCGTATCCTGGGCCTCCAGATTAGTGAACCGGCGCTTGAATCACTGGACCAGCGCGGCTCTAGGAGCTAGAAAGTAATTTATACTACAGGTATACTTACACAAGTATAACATATCTGATATCTGTTACATAATTCTCTAGCTTCATTATCTAATGGTAAACCATAATAATCAGCAAAGGCACAACCATCACTATATCTCTCTACTTCAGGACAGACGTCTATAAATATATTGAAAAAAATAGATGAAAACAACATTTGACACGTTTCCAGTGTCTTTCATTAAATTAATTTGCCGTTCTTAAATCCCAATTCTAGTTCATTTGACAAAGGAAATCGCACGAATCCCAAATAACCTCAACAACAAACTATAATGAAACTTTGCTCTTGGCAAACATGAAATCCGTTATAAACACGCACGAATAGTTATTATGATTTTTATTTTAAATAACGTGTCCTTGGTTCAGAAGAAACAGAATACAATTATTGTTAGGTCATGCAGATAAGATACTCATCGCAGTGTTTCGTTTAATTAGACCTAATTCCACTCAAACACTGCCATACTCAGCGCAAATTTCTGTCCCAAATTATGACTGGTTAACTGTCCGATCAACAACCAGTACATAACGACATAAAATCAAACGTGATTAACCAGAGCTCTAAATATGTTACTGTAAAGTGTCTGGTGACAAACGCGGCTACTTTACGTCAGAAGGCGCGAAATGTATTACGCTAAATTAACTAGCACATAAAAGAATATTGCAGAGAAACTAATTGTGTGATAAACGAGGCTATCCAAATAGCTACAATGTAAACATTTGCTAATCATCGCGCACGTGGAATTTTTTTTATCATCTCTTGGACCACGCATCAGACCAAAGAGAAGGGCCATCATGTTACGTAGTTGACTCAATGACAAACCTTATGATATAACGCGCACGCGATAATCATTTGACCATCCAACTCCCATATTATTTAAAGGTAGGCAGTAATAATTGGTACACGTTTATAGAATAAGAATTTATATCGGATATTTGAGTCAAAGAATTTTCGTTTCAATAACGAGTTTCAGCGACGGCCAAATTTACCTATGCGAATATCGATGTTTGTTCCCCATGCATCCAATTCCCTATATTTTACTCAGGAGAGATTTGATTGGACGATGAAAATGGACACGCTCAGTTAAAGTCTCAATACAGCAATAGCTGCCTAGAGAGAGTTTTCTCGGGTCATTGCTTCAGGAATATGTGTAGATAATAACGATATCAGTTCGATGGAAACGGATGTTAAATAAAACTATTTTACATGTAAACGTTACATTCCCACCATATTTATTATCCCGGTTTTGTGCAGAAAAGCAGCCGCTAAACCCCGTTTTATTTCATTCATCACATTTCTAGTCCAGCTTCCGGCAGGCAAAGCAGATTTAGTTTGAGACTTATTGGCACGTACCATATATTTTTTATGTAAAGCATTGGTGAGTAACCGAACCGCAATGAATAGCCAGCCCATCGATAACCCACGATAATATCACAGACGATTGAAATTGGATTCCAATGTGTTTATTCACAGACTCCAAGAAGAGATTAGTATGAGTGCGAAGTGGTTAGTGAAATAATTTAGCCGCATCCGAGGTTGCGGAAATGGCCGATCATGTTTAGATCGACCTTTGTGGAACCCCAAAAGTTTATAGTACCATCGAAACCCTATGTATTCAAATGAATCACCATGGTGATGTGGTTGGGATAGATTGCATATTGATTTTCCGAAAAAGGGTGTCTTTGTCTTCAAATAATGCTTAAAACACAAAACAAGACAGACAACTTATGGCAAAGTCTACCATCAGATACAGAATATACCGGGATATTCATTACCGAAACATACACGGCATGTGGTACTATGTATAAATTTAGAGACATCGATGTCATCTACCGAAGCAACTTGATAGCAGGTAACTATGTTGGAGTGGCGATGGCGATTCGCTGTCAAAATTGCGTCAAGTACAACATAAGCTGTTAACTCCGACAACACACAATGGTGGTATCTAAAAGAAAGGGTAAGCACATACTGCCTCGAGTAAAACATACAGTACTATTATAACTAAATGAGTAATAGATTAAAATGTCACTCCTTTACCCTCTTCTCTAGTATCTGTACTTAGAGCTGTTCTATCTGATATATCTTCTAAAATTTGTGGTAATAAATTATCTTCTTCCTCTTCGTCATCTTCGGGGTTGGCTGGGGAAAAAAACGTGGCCCATTTTATAAGCTTGCGATTTTAAAAAGATGATAGTGGAATTAAAGAAGGCTTAGTATATATTTATCTGGCCTTATTTTCCAGCTGAAAATGGGATTAGATGTAGAGCCCTCTGGCAATTTTACTTTCGTATGTCACATAAGATGCTATCAAATTTTTAATCCGAAGATTGTGTTCTATTGAAATTATCAGCGCATTGGAATTAGACGAGTAATCAACAACAAAAGAACTTAGAAGCTTAACTAATGGGTTTTAGACTAAGCTGTCCACCTTACTGACCGGAAACCGTAAAGTTTATATTCCTGGGTACTAAAATGTACACAGGGCACTGTTTATTCCTCAGCTAGCATGTGCAGGATAAAAACTAGAGTTTGTTAGTGGAAACGTCGCATCGTAATAAAGGGCCATTGAGTTATATAGAGTTACTAGATTTCATTGAAACAGTTCACTGAAATATTAATTTGCTAACATAACAAAGCAATGCAACGGAAAGAAGATAATTTTTTGTCTGAAATCAAGAGTGAAAAGCGCAAACGAGAATTAATCTACAGACAATAAATGCTTTACTTACCCCCTCTTGGTTTGTCTAAATATCCGAGTATTTGTCGAGGTGGGGTTGGTGCCCTTTTATCTTTAACAGCAAAATCATACCACATTCCTTGATTGTCCATTACTGGGGCTCTTTTCTTTGTTGCCCTCTTTCTATAATTTGGGTAATCGTCTTCTAAATCACCATCGTCCATTCTTTTCGACGCCTTCTTAAATACGGGTTCACCACGTTTTAAAGAAGCCCGGGCTATTTCTTGAACGATGAGAGCCAGTTGGGCATCAGTGGGATTAAGTGCTTGGAGAGCTTCTTCAACTTTAATAGCCTTTTCCAGAGACTTGAATTCTTTAGGAGAGACAGTTCCTTGGATCTGAGATTGAGTGGCCTGGTTAAGTGCTTCGGTCAAAGCTTCATTTTCTAAATCTTCTAAATGAGCAACCAGTTGTAATCTACGGATTTCAGCTATAAGCTCTGCCTTTTCAGTATCCACTTTATCGTCCACATATTCTTCATCCATGATATCTTCTTGTTGAGGTTCTAATTGTTGTGGTGTAAATCTCTTTTTTCTGGTATCATCATAATTAAGATAATTATTTAATAACCAGTATTCATCGAGCGGTATGGTTTCCTCTATTTTTTCTGGTTTGGGCGGAGATCTTTTTAGAACATCTGGCTGGTTTGTCTCATTACCTTCATTTTCAGAATCATCTTTTGAACTTTCGTCAAAAACGTCGTTAAGTTCTTCCTTTGACACTTTTACAACATTCTTTGGTGTGCGTCTTTTTAAAACTTCTAAATTATTTATTTTTCCATTGTTATGTTTTTGTAGTTTCTCTACAGCTCGCAATAAAGCTTGATACTCATCGTCGGAAAGCTTTTCATCATCACTATCGTCGTCTAGAACTGCTTCAGGTGACTTCTCTTGAATAATTTCCTCTGTTTTTATGATTTTTTCTTTTTCTGGTTCTGTGTCATCAAAGATATTGTCTAATTCTTCCGTCGAAGTTTCTTCTACGTCTTTCTCTTTACTCATCAAGCCATCATCTTCACCAAAGCTCTCTTCGGGTTCTTCATTTTGAAGTGACTCTGAGAGCCATAGAGGGCTTTCGTCCAGATTATCATCGTATAATCCCAGTGCCTCAAGATTAATTCCGTTCTCAGCTAAACGTCTGTAATCCTCTTCTTGTAGTCGATCTCTTTGTTGCTGTAAAATCTCTAAGGCTCTTGAAAGGTCAACGTCTCTGGTATTTCTGTGTTTGGGTATATTTTTAGCGTATCCCTGGTTACAGAGGATAGCTGCCACCAAAATGGCGCTCAGCATATTCGTGGTTAACATTTGCTTTGCAATTTACAAAAACTGAAAAATATAAGAAAATATATTCAAATTAATTCCGTGGGTTGATTTGTGGGATAGCTTTATTTAACATCTGCTTCCACCAGATGGTATGTATGGTAGATCATCACATATATATCCTTAACACGTTTCCATTGATTTGTTTCATAATTAAAATACATGTAAGGGTTTCTGTATGCAATAAATTGTTGGAAAAAAACCACATTCGACAAAATATTTGATTATGATAACTTAATGAAGCCAATTTTGGAATGTTTAAGAGATATACCACTGAGCATTCAGCCGGAAACATTGTGGGGCGTTTAATTTAGTATCCTTAACGTAATGACGTCAATAACTTCTTACCGGAAACTCTTAATCTCATTACGATATTTCTAGAGTGTGTATGATATGTTAAGGTAGCCACAATATTAAGAATATAAGCTGTCTCTAGACTATATTATATTATTTAATTAATAACCGGCGTAGGGTATCGTTCTTACATTAGGTGTTCACGTGTTACCGATTGATCAAATTTATATACGTTTCTTATATAGAATGTTACAACAGGATATGTAATTAATTAAAATGGACGTAAATGTAATGTATCAATATCATCATAGATTAAATTAAACAAAGAAAGCCCCGACCATCATAAATAGATGGTAAAACCAATCTTAAATTCATTTATCAATGAATAAATGAAGTCAATAATTGATATTTAGAGGGGGTCCCAAATGATAAAATCTCTTTCTGTATACAATTCCATCGCCAACTGTGATTCCAAATGATTCGTCAGTTGGTGTTAATATCATTTGGATTTTTATTTACATTGTATGTGATAAAACCCAAAAATGTGATCGTAACCATATCAGAACGACTTTAATCTAATTCAATGTTTCGGGCATACGCCCATATTCGGATAGTGATCTAAAAGATGACAACGCCAGGCTAACACACCTAATGGACGAAACACGTCAATGCAAAACCTGTCAGAATCTTAAATTCAAACACTTTTTAGTTATTCCAGACCATAAAGTTAAAAATGTTGGCATACAAAATGGGAGAGAAATATGAAGACATAATTTAATTAAAAATAGCTGGACCTAGCTTCATGGGCTAAATCTACTTGTTAAGGCCAGCTCAATTTTTGTTAAGGTCGTTGAGATGTAAATAAGGTAGGACACGTGATTGTTGGCGACATTATAGATTAGGGTTAAGGTAAGCATTGGGCTTCGGTTCACGGTTAGGTTTAAGGTTTGCACTGGGCTTCGGTCCAGGGTTAGGGTTGGGATTAGCGCTAGCGCTGTTTACATCTCGTAACCTATGACGAAAAATTGAGCTGGCATTATTTTAGAGGTGTAAATTCTCTCTTCGGATATAACAGACTTCGAATGATTCTTCAATTCTTTAATATACCGGAACATAAATATACATATATCGTCATACAGTACTGACAGGCCAGTTACTGCACTTAGTAAGGGATCCTAACTAGTGACTGCCTTCAATGTACAAATTTTGTAACATTTAAGGAAAATCAGATAAAAAGATAAAAGTAAATGTAATTAAAACTGACATGTCGATAGATGAACAGTGCATAAAAGATTAAACAATATAATAAATCAACAAAAACAATAGATGGGAATAACGTCGTTACCAATGACGGCTTGAAAAGTGGTGACATAGGTTAACGACTTACTAGGAAGCTGACCTTAAAGTGGTTAATTTAAGAAGCATTAATTATATTAGCGATAGCATATTATCACACCATTATATTATCATTTAGCATTTAGTGCGTAAAGAGGAGAGATAACTGTAGTTTAGTTCCGGGTGTCATTCGTTTATCAGATTTGTGGCTACAACAACGGCGATAATACGTCATAGGTGGTAACAGTATCATTGTTCCTATAAACTAGTAAAATATATAAGACGTTTGAGTTATGTTAATTTCCTACTATTCTATTCTTTTTGAGGAGAAAGAACACTACTAACTTGTCTAGCCGCTTTGCCTAAAGGGCACAGACTAACATGAGTGAAAATGCAGTTATGCTAATATTGTCTGATAATATTACGAATAGATATTTCGGTTCAAATTATCAGATAGCCCCAGAACTAGTTGTGTGTTATCACATATAGCGATTGTATCTTTGTGTATTCAATTATTCAACTTTCAATAAGTGAAGAAAATGGATATCTTGCGTGACTTGAAACCTTCCTTTTTTCTCGTGGGGAATAATTTTTAATTTAAAGGTGCGGGCATTTTTGTAAACAAAATTAATATTAGAGATCTATGTATGTCATCGTTGTAGGATGTCATTACGAATCCACAGAGAAGACAAGCATTTAAGTAAATGGAATGGGATATAACGTCCTACTTTTCTGCCCCAATGAGAGACAGTGCACAATGAGGGACATTTTGCCCGGAACACTCCGCTACGGTCTACTTTATTTTGAGTACCAACTGCCAGGTGTTTTCTTACGTACATACCAACGCGTAACCTTGGGTTTTCGTCCCACCCAAGAGACTAGACACGGTTCCTTATCAGCCCTGCCTCATTAGATATGTAATCACGTGAGGTCGCCGAAGGTGTCCATTGCGCATCGGCACATAGTTGTCTCAACTGTATTTATTTCCCACAAAATTAGGGCTCGCTTTCATTATGCCTTACATGAAATTAAGAAATTTTTAAAATTTGAATTGCATATCATAGTCTTATGTATAGATTACAAAATATTAATACTCATTTTCACACAGTTAACATTACACGAAAATAATAATAAAAAAACTAAATAGTACACTCCCTATCACAACCAAATTTAACTTTCTTGCACCTCATGAACGAAATACAAGAACGAATTAGTAGGGTACCCATTAACTGAGATGATATGAATGTAGATGTTTTTTTTTACAAAAAAAAATAGAAAAGCACGACTTGTCTTTCAGTGCTAAGATGTGGATGGAATTTGGGTTAGAGTGAAACCTAAATAAAACATTGGATAAAATCAATATTATATCTGAAGAAAATGAGATTAAAACAATACTGTGAGGCGAAGACTAGATATAATGATGTGTATCTTGGAGACGAGATAGTTATTATAAAAATATAGATAGCCATGACAATAAACAGCTTATAATAACAATAGTATTGAACACCTTGGCATTAAAGATAGACTGGGTCACTTTAAGGACAAATGGTTCTTTTTTTAAAATATAACATTCTTTTTAATATTTTAGAAAAACATTAACTATATATCAACTACACCTTAGGGGAGAGAGAGAAATGGGGTTTAACGTCCACTCGACACAAACTAGGTCATTTCGGGACTAACACATGGTTTTTTAATTTTTATTTACATAATTCGCTTGCGCGTAGGGGTCTTTAGCTGTGGGAGGAAACCGGAGGACCCGGAGAAAACCCACGAGGTTGGACAGGCGACCCTACTCCTTGTCACGTACAACCGCGGAATCGAAACCCCGCCAGTTGACTCAATGACAGACCGTATGATACAGCGCACGCGTGCTAACCATTCGGCCATCCCCCCCACACACACACACCTTAGGACACAATGGGCAGTCTGATTAAAGAGCATCTTTAATTGGTAAGCTTGGGTTAAAGTTGGGTCATTGTTGTGTTCAACTGTCTAGTGTTATATTTAGAGCTTAACCGTGGTTACAAAGTGTTAAAAAAAACACTAATCTACATTAACCCCAGCCAATGTATTACGGCTACGCGAATTTGGCACGTTATTCGAATAACGAATTACGAATCCGCGCGTTATTCAGGATTCACCAATGAATAATAACGAGCCCGCGCATTATTCGGGATTCGCCTATGACGAATAACGAGCCAGCACGTTAATCGAGATTTGGCAATTTACTCGCTACCTCTGCCGGTAGCGTATGGGTGGCCGATTAGCAACGAGCCGATCGTTTGTCAAGCGAGTAGGGTGTTGACTTGCACGATGCTGTCCCCTCTCGCACTCACCTGCGTTATTGCCATATCCCGAATAACGAGCCAGCAAGTTATTCCGGATACAACAATAAAACAAACCCGCTTACTATGCATCCGACCATTTCCTCGTAACTCCAATCGTAGGTTTAAGTGAACATGTATTCCTACATACCTGGGAGTCCGTGATTTTTGTTGTGGATTCACAAGCATAATATCTCGTGTTCTAATCACGTGTCAAGGGTACAACATATGGGATATACAGGGAAAGACTATCTAGTTCAGATGGAACCAATGGCCGAGGATTCCCTAGTGCATGTGCAATATGCCTTGCCAGCCGGAATTCTGAGACAAGTAGGGGGAAGACTTCCGCCTCGCACTGAATACGTAACTATAGCAATCAAATTATATCTCAAAATGACCAAAGTAGTGGACAATATGTTAAACCCCATTGATAGCGAGGACATCAGTGCATTATCAACTTTCTTATGGTAGGATTTGATCTGAATACAATTTGTTAAAGAAAAGCAAATCTTATCTTTGTAATTTTGCATCTAATCACTTTTGTCCTTAGCATAAGTATTGCATATTCCTTAAATCGTGTTAGATTAATTTTACCAAAGTGTACGACACGGTTAAGTGATGCATTAAAAGTGATGTCATTGTGGTTTGACCTTGACATTTTGAAAATGGGTAGACGGTAGCCGCGGGAAAAGTATACAATATTTATCGTAAATGAGCATGGTATGACATAATATATATATATATACACGGAGAAGCGATGATCAGTCTGATCAAAATACAGATCTATATTTCGTTTCGTTTTTTATACTTTCGATGGCCTACACTACATGAAGATCTGTCTGGTGGTATTTGATGGTCGTGTCAGGGGTCATAGGAGTGGGTTTTACCCTATGACATCAGGCATTGATTAATCAATCAACGTTGATGTTTCTAGTGGTTTACACATAGTTCCGTGCCCAGCACGCCAAGAACTGGCCGTAACAGATCGTTTCATTGGCTTATCCCTCATATTAACCAGAACGCGGGTTATAAAACATCTCTTCCAGCCTG